GGCAAAACGAGCCCACGCAAATCTAATCCTCACCACAATCATGGTCAACATTCAAGATTTGATTCACTAATTTTACCAAAAAAAAACAAAAAAAACAACAGAGCTAAAAATCACACAAGCAGCAGATTAAGGAACTCCACTACCAAATCCCCTTATAGAAACAATAGAGCCATGAGAGGAGCTTCTCCTCATTGATGAAGCTTGGTCAATAAAAACGACCACAACCGTGATATCGTCATGAAAATGCCTCCTCACGCCTCGATCGATTTTCTTGAGATCCGAATATCTCATTTCCCTCTTCTTAGCCGCAACAAGAAGAGCAGCCTTCACAAGCCTCCGAGCAATTCCCTGCCCCAAGAATCAAAAAACAAGATAAATACAAATGCATGAAATAACTAAACCCACCATTTTTTTTAATGAGAAACGAACAATAGGCGCAAAAACCGGACATTTATTGTCGAGAAATATCTTTTTCATGCAAAAGCAAACGAGAAATATAGCGTAATACTCACGTTTCGAGGGTAGCTGTTAACTATATCAACAGCCTCTTGATTGCTTAGGTGCTCCCACAAGCCATCGGAGGCAAATATGAGGAATTGATCGTCCGGGTTTAGCTTGTGCACGAGCATAGATGGTTCAGGACTTAGAATGGGTTGGCTAAAGGGCTCGGGTAGCCTGAATTTGGCTAGCAATGGTGGTCGGTTGAACTCCGATTTCTTGAGATATGCGTCCCCAATGCATCTCGAGACCTTTTTGTATCACAAAAAAAAAAGATTAAATTAGTTTCATTGATAGAGATTAGAGAGGGGCAAAAAGGCAAAGGAGAAGTCAATTTGATCCAAGAAAACTCCAATTTCGAATAAGATTAAAAATGCTTAAGAAGATTAAAAGGAAGATATTGAAGGCTATGTTTGGTAACCAAATAAGCTAAGCTTATTTAACTTATTTGGTTAGCCTATAAATTTTCTGTATTCAAATAAGCTTCGTTTGGTAGGACCAAAACGCTCGAGCTTATTTCATAGACTTCCTTAGGAAGCTTTTCAAATAAGCCCATTGAAATCTTTATTTCACTATAAGCTAATTTTACCAAAAACTTTTATCATATAAGCTAGCTTTCTAACTATAAGCTCGAAGTTCACTGATATCAACTAGTTTACCAAACAATACATAGCCGAAAAGCGCGGTTCTTTCTAGATATGAAGTGAGGGATGTCGAGTTTTAAACAAGATTGCAGCTTTTTGGCATTCATAAAAAATAGTCAGAATAATACAAGAGAAACTACCGTGAGATGAGGGTTACTATAAATTACAAAATAATATTAACCAAAAAAAAAAGATTACAAATATACCTGTATAATCCCCTTCACGCGCCAAACTTTGTGCTTCAGGACCACAATCTGCGAATCATCGGGATGCAAACTCCTTAATTCGTCCCTAACCGACTCACTATTCGCATTGTGCTCGACTGACAGTTGTATAGCACTCACCCCTTTAATGGCTTTATCCGTTCTGCCTAAGACTGCTCGTGAGTCACCGGCATTTGCTATATATAGCAACCCGTCACATATCACGCCTACTAGACAGCATGTCCCGACCGAAGCAATTTGAGGCTTTACGGACCATTGAAGCCTAACTAGAGAGAGAAACTCCTCTTCGGTTGCCAAAAAAGACTTCTTTATGACGTTTGTGGATATCTCTCGATGCTCGGCAGCAAATTCTGTGCAAAACACAAAAGAACTAAGTCATATTGGAGAGTGTAAGTGCCATATGAATTAGAAAAGGCCTATTTTTTTTATCTTTAGACAGCTTCTTCATATGTTAAATTCTTATTTGTGATTGACAAATGTATAAGGAGTTTTTGTAATCACTAAATAAGCTAGCTTATAGCTTATTTGGTTAGCTTATAAGCTTCTTGTATTCAAATAAGCTTCGTTTGGTAGGACAAACTTTTTTAAAAAGCTCGAGGTTATCTCATAAGTTTTTTTTTTCTTGGGTAGCTTTGCATTTTCAAATAAGCTCATTGAAATTTTCATTTCAGCTAAGCTAGCTTATCAACTAATTTTACTTATAAGACATAAGCTAAAAGCAATAAGCTTAAAATCACTTATGACCTAGTTCTACCAAACAGATTCTTGTGTTTCAGAAAGAAAATGGCAATTTTATAGAGTCTGCAAATCCAACTTCAAACTCTTATTCCATTTTACTAAATTGATACTTTGTTCATTATTCAACTTTGACACCCTAAGCTAAGATTCATAAAACTTAACCCAAATGAGAAGGGAGAAAAACTTTGAACACCCTAAGAGATTCATAAAACTCTACCCAAATGAGAAGAAGAAGAAGAAAAGGGGACATACTTTTGAGATTCTGGAACAAGGTCTCGTTCACAAACCGAGAAGTTTCGGGCCCACCATGGCCATCATAAACCCCGATAAACGTGCCGCAAGGGCCTGAGTCGAGAGAACTCAACGGGCCCGACTCGAGTTGACTTTGGTCCTCCATCAGCCCATTGGCTTGAATCACAGCCATCGAAAATTCCCCATTAGTGTGACGACCGAGATCTTTATACCACCATAACCCGTCAACTCTCCCGTTTAACTCACTTCCTCCTCGCCTCCAAACACTGTCACCTTCGACTGAAGGTCTCCAACAAGGCTTCACCATTTTTACTT